AAAACGTTTTGTGCAAATTTTATCAACATACGCTGTATAGTTTAACATTTTACTTGTTCGTTTACTTTTCTACACATTATACGCATATTCGCGTTGCACATATACCCGTGACAGCTCGTGTATGCACGTGTAATGTATACACTCTGCGGTTGTGATAAGATCGAGAAAGAGCTTGCGCAATCTCGAGTAGCGATTACCAGGAGAGGCAGTGTCGTGGACAGACCCGTCGCCGCCATTGCCGATGAATTTTACCTGCATCTCGCAGTCCGTATTAACGAACAAGCATATATTCATTACCTTAAGAGTGTTAGGGTGCAAAAAGAAGTTCGTAATAGAAATGAAACTTCTTTACGGAAATGCTTTTTGCAATTTCTAACGGTAAAATTATCTTTTATATTACATTACGATATTTTTATCATTTTTTAAAGGTTATGTTAGGCCGGCTCGATATATGTGACTAAGATAACTGTTTTTATCGTATGAAAGTTATTACTGCAGTTTTATTTCTTTTTTATTTAGTATTCGGAACTTGAAACTGGAATGGGAATAGAAAGTTGAAGCAAATTTTTCTTTTAATAAGAATTTATATGGATATAAAAAATGTCACGAACATGAAGCATTAACTTAATAAAAAAATTAACAAGACGACATCGTAAGTTCTTTGCGAGTTTTGAAAGAGAAGATTGCAAATTTATCGGGTATGTCAGATAGCAATACACGTTTCTGTGAAATTTCAGATATTTAGAGTAAAACAATGCGGTTGAGAAACGTTAACGACTCGTGTGAGTAATAATTGGATTTCTCACATGGTTTTACATTTAATCCAAATAGACAAAACTAGAATAGATTTGATATAATCCTTAACCCATATTATACTCATGCAACAACGTAATTTGATATAAATATTATGTTATCTTTACGTTTTTACAATAAACAAATTTTACAATAGGTTGTGCATAAAAGTATTTTTTTGATATTATCAATAGAACATTTAATAGAAATAGAACATTTTGTTGACAATTTGTAGGTATAATCAATTATAGGTGACAAAATTATATTCCAATTGCACGCAATTACTGATAGATACAATAAAATTCGATGTTTCTTTTACATAGAATGTTTGTAGAAGCAATTTTTAAAATGTCTTTTACATTCGTTATAAATGTTAGATACGGTGAAATTTTTGAATAAATTATATTCATTATCAACTTTTCGTGTTATTTCATTATCAAGGAAATAATCTAACGTTAATTCGAATCATTTTTTTTTGTTTAATGCAATGTGATGCAAAGTACAGAGGAAAATATCAGTGTTCAATTTCGTGTCAATAACGTTATTACTGACTGTGTTCACGTATACCGCTATAGGCTAACGCCCCATCCATTCGATCCCGTTGCCTTTTTTCTGTAACAGTCAGCCTCGAGCCAGCGATTTTCTCGTGCCCCTCTATCCCCCCGCCACCCAACCAAACCGTTTTCATTCGTCTTTCTCGACTTGCTTTACTATTCCACTTCTTTCTGTATTTCTTTTTTCAACAAGGTATTAATTATTAAATAACTGCATCAGCAATAGGATTAAATATATATAATATATATAATAATATATATATATAT